CGTCCAAACCTGGCACTAAAACCAGCTGTCGCAACAGACCCTTTGGGCCATAGATGAGATTTATTGTTAGTTGGTTTTAAATTGTTTGGCAGAATATTTTGCATGAGTTTTGTTAAAATTAGCAATGAAGACTTATAAGCCTTACTGAAAACAAGCCTTTCCATCTCCCCCGGCTGCCAATGTGAAATCTTGATCCCTGAATGTTGAGATTTGAGGGGAAAGGCCTGGAGGGAACGCTGTTTGCCATTAAAGATATATACATATATTTATGATTATTGCTAACTGCTAAAGTAAATTTTTTTCTGTAAATAAACAAAGTCTGTGTAATGAAAGTATTCTGCCCCACTTCTGTTTTTAGACTCCAGACAGGGAAATATAAGACAGTAATTGTATTTCATTTATAAGTACTGTATGGGTGCCGATATTCCTCCCTTCTGTGCGCCAGAGGGAGTTTCCACTACAAACCATCTATCACAAACTGTCACACCACTATGATATGACTGCAGGGTGTAAGCACATTTGGAACAGTGCCAGTTGTACTGTGATGAAGGATCCACTATCCCTCAAGGGGGAAAGGATGGTTGGAGACAGCCAGCGTACCCACCCAGTGATCAGAAAACAAACACAAACAAGAACTTAAGAGGGGAAAAAAACAACAAGAACTCACATTTCCAGTGGTGGGGCACAGTCCACTGTGAACTTCACATGCTGAGTGCCAATGGTTAAAACCACAGTGTGCCACTGGTTATCAGCCAGTTGGGTGTCTCCAAACACCCAGTGCTCTACCACCCCTCCATGACCTTTAAAAACAAAGTGCAGATGTTTTCTCGAGAACCTCAGTCCAAGAATGATCCGTTCACCTTTCTCATTACTTTTGACTCCCCTCTCCTTCTTCTCCTTTCCATGTTGTTCTTCTCCACTTATATCCCTCTCCTTATAATTTTCAAAAATCTCCCCTTTATTGTTCTCCTCTTCCTTCTCCTCCACTGCTCTTTTTACTAATATTTTTGGCTCCATCAAGGAAAAGAGGTACTCCTTTCTCTGTAAAGCAAATGTGAAAACATTCAGACATGCTATATGGCAGGGATGGTGCTGTAAGTAACAAAGCACATTTATTAACGTAGTGTACTTAAGTACAATTCTGCAGAACTTAGAGCTTTCAATGAATCAATTAGTCAGTCAACAGAAATATTTACATATGCAACTACTTTGAGAATGGATTCATCATTTGAGGTATTTTTAGAACAAATGAGAGGATTTACTGCTTTTCTTTGTCATATAAGCTGTGGCTACTATTGTCAAACAAAACAAATTGAATCAAATTACTGTGGGTTTTGGTAGATTGTGAGTGATCTAAACCATGATCCGCAGATTAACTGATAATGAAGACAGTCTTTAGCTGCAAGTATACTTACTACTACATTAATTTTAACTTACTGTTTACTTCTTCTCAACTACATTTATTTGACATCTACACCAAAAAGATACAAATGTAAATTTTGTTCCACCTCCACCAGATCCATCCAACAATTCATTATCTATACAGCTTATCCTAATAAGGGTCGTGGGGGGGCTGGAGCCAATCCTCCACCAGATAAGTAACAATAATAATCCTATGATATATACTTATACTTTTAATACTTTAAATGTGTATATTTATCTGATATTACTGTTATATCTTTATTTAAGTAACATTCAGAGAATTTTCACACGGGTTCTGGTAGTTTTACTTACTGTGAGTTAAGGACATGAATGCTTCTTTTACCAGGTGTTTCTTAAAAATGTGTGTGCATGTGTGTGTGTTTGGGGGGGTTGGGTGTTTTGCTCACCTTGAGTGTAATAGGAGTGACTTTTAGTGTCACAACAATGGAGAATTCTTTGGGGAAGAGGTTGCAATTCACCAGCAACTGGGAGGAGGGAACGCTCATGGAGGTATGAGGGCTGGAGAAATGAACACCCCTCACCCCTCCAGTCTGCCTCATGTGCACCCCCGGCACGAGCTGGGAGGTGTCCTTCTCGAGAACAAAAGACAGAAGATCCAGAGGGGGCAAATCTGCAAACAATAAGCCATGAGGTTTGGACTGTTGGCAGAACAAAGCAGGCACTGTGAAGGTTTCACTTTGTGACGGGCATTTCTCCCCATTTTCAGATTTATTTATTTCACTACAAACAATCAATTGATTAATTGATTAAAAAAAAAACCAATCCATAAATCGACAAATTAATAATAAAAATTAGCTGAGTGTTTTTAACACTCTTACTCAAGTAAAGAATCTGAACACTTCTTCCACCATTGCTGAGTGATGCTTAATGAATACTATATTAAACCAAGAAGTCACAAATGCACTACGCATATATTAGCTTGTTTTGAAGGGACACAAGTTAAAAAACGTTGGGAACAACTGCTATGAACTAATAAATCAATTAGTGGGTGTGAGAAATAGCCCTGGGCTGTAGTGGAGCTATAGGAATTTGTAGGAGAGGTTGTTATTAAGAAAGAAGCCCTTTAGAAAGTGAGAACAATAGAAGAGAATTACAACCAAATTAATGAGACATCATGTAACACAGTTTGTCCACATGTTATGTGTATAAAACTGTTGTGGAATTCTAACTATGTCCAATGTCTGTACATGCTTGTAGATTTTAATTTAAGTTAATATTGCACGCAATACTGCACACACAAGTCCTCCTACTGTGCTGTAGCAGACGCAGACAGTTGGAATTATCCAGAAGAATTTTGGCTGGAGGGGTTTCCCAGGTTTTTTGATGAAACCAAAAGCCATCCGTTCAATAATCCTTAACTTGACATCACGTTTGTTTAACTGAGCTGAGGTAATACAGAGTAAAGCTGAGGCAGGGGAAGATAAGATAGAAGAAAATGCTACAGTACCTGTACAATGTCTCCATGGCTCCGTGGTGGTGTCACTGGCCCTTAACCCCAGGAGAAGGAGCTGCACAAATATCAGCAATGGCATTACAAAAAGTCTGTCTGGTTTAATGATGAGCTGGTGCGAATGTCTCCATACTTGAGGTATTTCTCTGTGTATTCCTCCTTTTTGTCTCTATCTTAAGTTGCAAAACATAACAGACAACTGTGTATTCTTCATGTTGCTGAAAATGAGCATTTTCAGATCTTTAAACTCCAAAGAAAAATGTTTAGTCAATAAAAATCATCAGATCTACACTGATTAAGATTCACATGTACTTAAAGAGTAGAAGAAGAGCATCTGCGCACAGAGAGAAATCCATTAATCTGTGTGGAGAATCCTGCACCTGCAGCTCCTTTTAAACACCAGAGCCATGCAAATCACCTCCACTCATCATTCATCCTCCCTCAACCGCCTTTGATGGCATAAACCTGCCAGAGGGCTGAGCTCCTGCAATATGTGTGTTTGTGTGTCTATTCTTATGAGAGACACACCGACTGGCAGAGATGCAGACAGACCGAATATCTTAATGTAACCGATTACAAAATATCTAAAGACAAAGTCCTTCAGATGTTCAGTTCACAAAACGGGCAGTTCATTTTTTTTTTTAACTATAAAAGGCAACTTAAAAACAACAACAACAACAAAACATGCTGTATGTGACCTTTGGTCGAATACTGCACAGAATGATGTGAGATTTGACAACTTATCTGAGAAACTGATGTGCATGAACCCAGCTGTAGTAATCAAGTCTCAGACTTAGTTGTCCTAAAAGATCTGTAAATGTTGCTTTCTCAAAATGTAATGAAACCTCTGAACAGTGAAAAGAAAGGTAAATTGATTCAATGATGTATTTAAAATTAGATATAAACACTAGGCAAACATTACAATGGACAAAAGGTCTTGCTGTAACAGTATTTGCAAATAATAATACTTGAATTTATGTTTACTTGTGTGAATGCAGTTGTATAAAATGGTCTTTTAGATACTTTCATTGCGGTCTACGGTCACTCAATAATTTTTTTATGGTTACGTAAGTATGTCTGACCTTGGTTTGTTGGTTACTAGGCAATCGGCAAATAAACAGACTGTGTTTTGAAAGATATCGGCATCTGAGCTTGTGTCAGATCTCTCAGAAATGTCACACACCAACAAGCACATTTACAAGGCAAATGCAGTCTCTTCTCCTCACTCACATTAAGATCAGAGACTGCACCTAGACCCGATAAGATAACATCTCCATTCAGCTCACTTCTCTTTTTACTCTATGCATTTGTTAACCTTCCAGTTACGTACAGAAATGTTTATTCAGTGGTGGAAGAAGTACTCAGATCCTTTGCTTAAGTAAAAGTAACAATACAACAGTATAAAAATACTCAGTTACAAATAAAAGTCCTGCATTCAAAGTGTTAAGTACAAAAGTATTAGCATCAAAACACACTAAAAGTACTCATTATGCAGAATGGCACATTTCACATTTACTGTGTACCATATTATATTATAATTACTGATGCATTATTGTGTACATCAAATTCAGTTCAAAACTGTGCTTATGTATGTCAGTAATGTATGTTAGTTTGTTGCTTGGTTATTAGTGACTGGACAGTTGTGCAATGTGCAATTTGTTTAATGACAAAATGAAATCAAACCAGAAACCTGAGATTTTAATGGATCAGTGGCGCCACCTGGCAGTTTTTTAAGCTACATGGGATGTTTTCAGTACACGTGTATAAATTATTGCAGGCAGGGCTGCCGTGGAAACTGAAATTGTCTTGCATAATTAACCACACGCCAGCTAAATAGGATTCGGTAGCCATATTATTACAAATAAAATGTGTACTGTGTATTTTTGTATTAATGTGGTTCTGAAAACTAAAGTTATAAAATAATGCAGTGGATTAACAGGTACAATATATGCCTTAAAATGTGAAGTAGCAGAAAACAAACCTACTTTAGTACAGATACCTCAAAATAGTACTTAAGTACAGTACTTGAATAAATACTTTGTTACTTTCCACCATTGAAAATACTTAAACTCAGGGCAGCAAATCCGAGTACCAAACTATATTTATTGTATACAGTAGTAAAAGACCACAAATAATGTACAAATCAGTAGAGAAACAAATAACATGAGAATACCTGGGCCCCATTCTTCATACATTACAATTTAGCTAATATATTAGCCAACCTAAGAGATCTTTGTCCAGCTAACTCGGTTCCTGAAACTCAAGTGGAAGGCTGATTTGTTTTTATTGATAACTGTGCTCTTATTTTGTGGGAGAGAAAAGCTGAAACCAAGATTACTTGTGATTGGCTTGTGCAGAAACACGTCTCCAAGTGTAATCTCACGGATTTAACAAGTCTCTGTACCACAAAAGGTTCAAATGCATGTTGTTAATAACCGAGGGAAGGATGACAGTTGTGAGTCCTCATAAAAGTTCTGTTCAGTGGGGTCAGCAGAGTAAATACAATCAGCAGGTGGGCAGTACAGTGAAGCTTTGGAACCACTTTTCTGTCACAGTCATTCAAAACTGTTTTCAGTACTGGCATTGACTTATGCTTTTATATATAGAATACATACAAAAAATACAGCTTAATTACTTTAAAAAGACAGCATCTTTCTAATGTGGCTGAACAAAACTACGGGAATGTACCTCAGTGATTAATTGAGACTAAATCATGAAATTTATATTCAGTTTGCTTCCAAGAACACTGACCAACTGGAGCCTCTAAAAAAAGGTGCAGCCTTATCTGAAAATAAACTAAGATAGGCAGCGTTGAAGGGTTGTCATGATCCAACCGATTGTGAAGTAGGCTGCACTTTTACAAGTTTTGAGCTCAAAGACCAGTTGCTTCAACAACAGATACGCTTTAATTCTGACTGAAGTGGAGAACCCAAGTTCATGTCAGACCATCAACAATCGTGCTCACTTGTTCATGTATGAAGAATGGGGGCCCCGTGGATGCAGAACACTTGTCTCCCAACCTTCACTGGCTGACCTTCCTGCCCTCATGTACAAAATGCAACAACCTGCATGCCTCCCCTTCTGAGCTGCAAAATATTCAAGACACTCATCACCGCTCGAAACAGTCACTGCAGTTGAATGTGTTTAAAACAAATAGCCTGCGACTACTGCCTGGTACACACCAGAAAACAATAGCTCAACAGTTGACACAGCAGTGAAAAGTGTCTTCAAAACTCAACTGGAAGCTGCTCCTCTTCAAAGCACAAGCAGAAAGTTGTCCCATCAGCCTACATTGACAACACAGAGTGAGACAGCCCACCCTAAAACAGCACTGAAGAACAACCTCGTAGCTATTCTCACCCTCCTCAAAAAACCCACAAGCATAACAGCTTGTAAGAACACCATAGGGACTGGTCACTGGCCTGCTTCATGGGAAAACGAGGAGGAAAAACCAAAATGTTACACATACCATGTCAAGAGACTATCCTTTCACAGCCAGACTGACCAACTCTAACCGAGAATGCACCTCAGTGGTATAAATTACATTTCTTCCTCCCCTACACAGGTATTTGTCTGGATGAATTACAGTCTGTACTACAAATAATCTTTGTTTCAATTAGTAGCTGTCAAAGAGGAAAAAAAATAACATTAATGAAATACAAACGCCATTAAAATCTGAATGTTTTGACCTTGCAGCTGCTTTTAGAGAGATCCAAGTACATCAAATACAAAACAGAAGTTCGGTCTTTGTAGTATTGGTCCAAGCCCCACAACATTTATCTAACAGCCACTCTGATATTTCTGTACAAAAAAAAAAACAAAACAAAAAAAAAAAACATTGCAGAACTCTTTAGCAAAAGCACCTAAAATGCAAAGGGAATTAAAATACATTTTGGACAGAGGAGCAGGAGTCACCGTTCAGACAAAAATCACGCAAGAAAGCAAAGTGAATTGGAAGGCGGGCGTGTATTAGTTCAGGTGGTGATTCCATTTCAAAACATTTTCATGCCCATTGACTTTGACCCCTGGACAAAAAAAATTGCAGAGCCTCGCAATCGACCCTGCTGAATGAAAACCCTGACAAACTAGTGGATACTAAGCTTTCACTGGAGAGTGAACAAGAAGCGCTGATAAACCAGGAGAAGCTATGATGTAACATTGGTCCAATCACAGGGTGTGATGCCAAAAGGAACATGATGTCCTGACTGGCCAACAGAGAGATGGATGACGCGCACAAAAGTTCAGTCCTGGCTGAGGCAGTACATAAATGGCTGAGGAGCCCCCCACCCCGAGGAAAAATCATGACATTCACCATTAAACTGAAAAAAAAAAAAAAAAAATATTATTATAA